CCTTGCATCAAGAAGGAGATTTCAAACTTTACTTTGAAACTTTCTGTAAAAAGATCTCATTATTCTTTATCCTTGATTAATCTGCATTGGTTCCAATTGCTTATATGGGATACAAGAGTTTCAAAGAAAAATATCCACAAGTATGGAATTTCCTGTTTGATAATCTGTGGTCCATGACAGAACTGGACTATTTTTCAGGATCTCACTTGGCCAAGGAACAGAACTTCAAACATTCAAAAGTCATGACACCATTATCACAAATTAAAATGCTCTTAATATGACTAATTTCCAAAAATGCATACTTAACTAGACTTCAGTAAAGTGCTGTGGATGAAAGAATCCTTAGAGTCCAGTTGTACTGAGTATCATGAGCAGACTTAGATTCAGGAGAAATTCTATGACAGAAAATTTCTCGTAATTAAAAAATATGAAAATTTATTTATGGAAGATACAATATATTCCATCATTCTCAATATTAAACACTTATACAAAGAGATACATCTTGAAAAAGCTAAAAATAATCAAGGATGTGAACCAGAAGCAATACAAGGCTTTTAAACAGAGAATTATGACTTGAAACAAAGGATCATCTAAGGCCATTTCCAGAAGAATTATAGTTGATTCTCAGAAAGTCAACGGCAGAAGATTCAACAGATAATCCTTCTTAAAAACACTTACATTATTCTCAAAGTTATTCATTACCTTTCAGAAAAGAGAAGGTGACTTACAAAAATTCTTTCATCATGAAAACCAGTGTTGTTCCCTCCCCCTCAAAAGACAATAGGTTTAGATAAGCCAAAAAAGTCAATCTTATAAAAGTACCTTCAAAATGAAACCGACTCTGTGTGGAGTTATGATTTACCTGATACTGAAATTCTGGTTTTGGTGGAGTTGTGTAATAATTGTGTATGACCACACACCAGTTTGAATTCGACTTTCAGTTTGACTTTCTGCACCAAACAAGGTTATCAGCTACATCAGTGAAAAGTTACAAGGGGAAAAAAAGGGGAAAAAAAGATTCTGTATTAGTTTTGATCTCTATAAATCAAGCTATCAAAGAAACCATAAGAACACTGTGGCAAGGCACCTCAAAAACAAGTCAAGATCATTAAGTCCCAGCTAACTGGCAATCATTTCTTTGTCATAAAACACAGCTCAAGGCAGCACAATGTAGACAAAAATCAGGTGAAAGTGTTCACACTTCCAAAACTGAATTTTTTAACTACGAAGAGATATAGCTGGTTGGTAACAGGTACTGGCCTTGCTTTAAGTTATAAAACTGAAAATTTTGTCATGGAAGAAGTTTCTAAAGTCGCAGCAGGACTGTCCTGTTAACGATCACTACCTAAGAAAAATCTTAGGTTTTCCATATGATAACAAGCTGCAACAAAAAGTAATTCTTCAAAGAAAAATGCAAAAAAATCTCACCGCTATATGGAATGTATTTGACAATGTGTACCACTGGTCTACCACTATATACTTAATCACTGATTAAGTTCTTGTGCTGACTGAACAAACACTGTTTCTCCCTGTGATCATGCAAACGATGGAGACTGGCAACCCGTGTGGACCTGCCATAACCCACAGCCTAGCAGAAATGTCTGAAGCGCTGCTGCAAGAAGTTTAACAGCTGACAAGAATACTCCATTTAGTATAGGCTGGGGGGTAAAGGCAGCTGATGACCAGTGGAAATTTTCTAAGTGCATAAAAAGTCTTGAGAAGGCTAGCAGACGATACCACCTACTGTTACAAATAGCATCTTTGTCTCCTTTCTAGCCATCTAACTGCATGATAATTTACCCTTATCATTGACCTTGAAAGACATTTTTCAGTTTGGCATTTCCAAAGGCTGAAAGGACGAAAAAGGGGAAAGAAAAAGACACAGAGTTCTCTGCACAAATTATAACTGTACAGATTTGCTGTTAAGGGCAGCTGCTGCAAAACATCCAGGATTTCATGAAAAGATCTGATGATCAGAAACACAAGCCAGAAGCCAATTCATCAAAATCTCTATCAAAAATACAATTTTAACATCTGCTTGGACCTCCACTTATCTCACTGCTCTCAGACACTATTGATTATCACTATCTGCGAATCTCTAGTATTCTAAAGAGCAGCGGCAAAGGGAAATGAAAGTGAAGATTTCCATACAAATACAGATATATGCTGCATATAGAGAATGAAAACTGCTGGTGCTGACTGAAATGCATGTCTAACTTCATTTTTATGTTTCAGTTTACATTATCCCATCTTCTGCAAATACACTGACAACAGAATGGAGTCATCATACAGTCCAAAACTAAAATATTTATTAAAACTATAACGAGAAATAAGGGCTTTCTCCATCAAAGAAAAAAAGACATTACATTACCAAAGACTGGTTGTTCCCTGCAATACACTTGCTGGAAGGCTATGATTGCTGTCTTTTTCTGTGGAATAGACTTCTCAGACCTTTAGTATTTTACATGCTTGACCAGACCACAAGAACAGGATATAAAACGTAGGGACAATAGCAACTCTGCACTGCTGGAGAATGAAATGAAACTCTTTCAGCAAAGTAATATCATGCCTGCCCTGGAAAACTAAAATCCTCAGAAAGCTAGGACCCACAGCAAGAAGGTTGCGTATAGGCCTGAAGCCTTTCCTTCTCTATTCTTCCTGATTTGAATTATCTAGGAGCCCCTTTTTCAGCTCCCAGAGTGATATATCTCCCTTTCTCCCCATAGCCCAGCATACCCTGGACTAGGATTGTGCGATAAGTGATGTGCTACTTCAGAGAAACTGCACAGGGGATTTTATAACCTTCAGCTCAGCACTAGGAAGAGGAAGAGAAGAGTCTTCTCTTCATCCTGTTGAATCATCTCTGTACCAGTCTCTCTTCTCAGCTACCACAGGGTTATTTCTTCTTTAATTTGTAATTCACAAAACAGAAATAATAATAATCATTGTCATCATCATCATCATCATCACTTCATGTTCAAAATTCTCCCAGGAAAGAGGATAAAAATAAACTGCTGTGATGTTTCATTCCCGCGATAGTTTATGGACCATGAACAGGCAGAAATCTGCTGAGAGGATAGCCTTGTTGCTATTTGCCAACCACCTTACTTCCATCAACATTGCTACAGTTAGGAACCCAAACAAAAAAACCCTTCAACTATGCACACAAAAAACCCTAGCTGACCATATCATCAGAACCACTTCTAGATTTAAGTCACAAAAAATTGTTTAATTTAATTCTTCAAACCTCTACAATCAAATTTGTTTTTGCTTCTGTAGCGCAACACAGTCAGATAGCAGGTTTTCACTGTCCACATGTGACATGTGAAACAGGACTTAAAATATCATCAGACACCAGGGCGAGAGGAAACCATATAGAATTTCTACTATAAATAACAGATTTTCTATTACGGGGGAAAATTAGTGGATTTTTCATGTTGTCAAGCATTGCAACAGGTTACCCAGAGAGGTTGTGCAGTCTATCTCTATTCTTGGAGGTTTTAAGACCTGACTGAATAAAGCTGCGAGTAACCCGGTCTGTCCTTAGAGCTCACCCTTTTTGGAGCAGGAGGCTAGACTGGAGACCTCTTGCAGTCTTTTCCAAGCTGAATCATCATATTATGCCTCTGTGCTCCATCACATCAAAAGCCCACTAAAGCAAGCACCATTATTCTCCAAGATTCCAGTCCTTCTTGATCTTGTTAGCATCCTACATATCCACAAGGCTAACTTTGTGATATAAATGTATGTGAATTTGGAGGCAAAGAGGAAAAGATGGGCCAAACAGAAGAAAAGATGCACTATTTTAGAGCTCTTTCCATTCAAATCTCTGCTTATTCAGAACTCTACTTCCATTCTATTGGTAAAGAGTTCACAGTGAAAACAAGAAGCCTTCACAATTTGGTGTGGAACTATATACTCTGCTTTCCTACCATGAAAGTAAAATCTATGACCATAAGAAGCATTAAACATCACAGAAGTTTCAGTCACAGAACAGTTCCGTAACTTTATGTCAAACTACTCCATAAACGAGGTATTCAGCAGTGCCCAAGAGTCCTCATTTCTTCCTGTGCTAAGATGGCTCATAATTATAAACCAACTTTCATCATGAGCTATATGAAAAAATAGCTCAGCTGCAATCTGGTGCACAACTTCACATACAGGCTAGAAAGCTGGGTGAGCTCAGTTTCAATTCTGCACCCGCTTGGTCCGTTCCAAGACTTCCGGAAAATATTTCTCTGTTTTCGGTATTCCCTCCCCTCCACACCCAAGTAATGTCTAATTTATACTTGCATCACTACTGAAAACTGGCCAGATAAAATACTTTTATGTGTTATTAACATTACTGATCGGTAACAGACTACACAGGTCAATCTGAATATGATTGCTTCATTGTTTTCTTCCGCAGTTTAGGGGAAACAACACTTTTATCCAACATAACAACAAAGTAAAAATGTGTAAATTAGCTTCATTGATGGTGTTTAGAATGAAGGATATTGAGTTCTAATACGCAGACGTTCTGCACTCTGGATCAGTAAAAATGCATTCCTATTCACATCATTCTTGGCCAACAGCACCTTGAATTTGACCATCTGTCATCCATCCATATGACAGCATTTTTTTAAAAAAGGGTGTGAACACATACACACAAATATATGTGCAAACATACATATATAAGTTATATGTGGGTATGCAGGCACATAGACAATCCTGCAGAATCACCTAAATCAACTGGAGCTGTGACACTGTAAAAGGTCTCAGTAGATCTCTGGAGCATAAGTATCAAATATTCTAGCATCTCCTTTTCCAAGTCCTCTCCAGTGACCAAATGATACAAAGATTCCTTCCTGAGGGGTCTCATCTCCTCCATGTGTGGAGATGAGCTTAGCACTGAAGGAATCTCTTGTGTTCAAGGCCTCTGCGCATACAGAGGAAGCCCTTGACCCAGGGTGGGGGGAGAGATTTCGAATGCAACAGAACCGAGTGACTCCAATACTTACTTGGCAGGCATTATAAATCAATTGGTGTTCCAATTTTTTGATCCCTAGAATCTGTTGAAACATTTCATAAAGCTGTTCCTTGCTCAGAATCAGCTCCGAGACAGCACTTAATGCCATTCTATTCGGCTGTTTGCAAAAGTCTTCTTCTCCCCTGTATATGGCATCATATTTGGCTAGCCAAGAACTTAACACTGTCTCTTTGCTTAATCCATCAATTTCCGGCAGGCTTCGGACCCTTTTTTCTATGTTTTTCTTAAAAACATCTCTAAAGTCATTTGCAGAACATCCTCCACTGTGAACCATTCTTGCAACCCGGTCACTCTTGAGAAATACCTTTTAAAATAAAATAAGAAAGAAAAGAAACAGAGTTAGGCAGGGACACAAACCTAACAGAATCCTCTATAAAGGGATTATGAGCTAGTATTTAGCTTCCATGTAAAATGGCTTTGTAAGAAAAATTAAACAGACTAAGGTTGCTACATTTTTCATACAGAAATGAATGAATATTTTTTAAAAAATAAGTTTCTGCATTGAACAAATACTTAAATGAAGTAACTTTTTAAAGAAGTGCTGCATAAATTTACAATAGTTCAGTTTGAATAAAATGTGAATTAACAGCAGCTAATTTAAAATTTACCTACAAGATTTATTAATCTTTCCTCCATTAGAGCCACAGAAGTCTAAGGATACTTACTGGTAACTCATGAAGAAGCTATACTATCCCAATACTTAGGGGCATAAAAATGAGGGAAAAAATGATCTACAAGACAGCCAATAATCTCATGGTAGATGAGACAGAAAGATAGAGAAAACATTATAGAAATACTACAATTTACAATACATATAAGAAAAAATATCAAAGCTATAGAACTTGTTCTACTACCATAGACATTAGGAACACAATATAAAACACAAGAACAACCACAAAAAATCCTCCCAAGTACACACATTATAAGATATGACAAGGCAAATTACAACAACAAATCAATTACATTAATGTGAGCATTTTGTAAGAGCTTTTCAGAGTTCAAGAGTAGCTGTACACATCTAACAGACGCCTTGCTAAGGTTGACCCTTACAGCCATCGTGCGTGGGCAACTTGTCTCTAGTAGGAAGCCACATGAAACTCTCGCCTTGCAAAGTTTAACCAACAGAGAGATGAGCACTGCAGCGCCAGCAGCAGCGCAAACGATGGACATGAGCCTTGGATAAAGGATAAGCTACGTCATCTCATCTCACAAACACTCTTTGGATAAGTAGCTGGCTCCTCGGCGGCAGGAGGTGGCCCTGAGCCCTGTGCGGCTCCAGTGCAGCAGCGCTGCTCGGCTGCCACAGTGACATCCCCAAGCACAACTGGAATGCAAAGAAAAAGGTATGATGCTGTGTAGTCTAAATAGATTTCCTTTTCATCACCTTTCTGATCGTTTGCCCTCTTCAGTCAGATGCTACGAATCGGAAGGGAAATGACTATGCATTTTCAGATAATGCTTTTAGTAACTGAGAGCGATCAAAATGCAACTAATGAAGATGATGGCACTGCAGAGCTGTGATTCCACATGCCCTCAGACGAAGGAAGATGGTGCCCCTAACACACAATCTAAAATGTCACTGTGCTTCTTTTGGAAAACACTAAAATTGAAGAGTGGTAGAAGAGCTAAAAGGCTGAGCAGAGGAGTACTCTGGCAGAAACAGCTCAAGAAAAATATACTAAAAGTCCTGGCGCATGTTGATCCATGTTTTCCCTGTAGAGTATTTTAAAATGCAGTTATTCTTTCAATAGATATCCTAACTCATATTGTACCGAAGGCTGCAGATTAAGCCTGAAAGAGCTAGGACCAAAAGATGATTACAGAAGACATCACCAATATCTGATATCACATTTTGTGCTCTAACCACCATGTGGGATTTTCTTTTTTGTAAACATTAGTATCTAAGGTTAAATTTCTATTCAGAAAGGAAACTGACATGGTTATTGTCAATTAATGTTGATATCAATTTCCTCAAAATGTTGCACAAATATTGAATCTTATTTCAAAACAAATATATAATCAGACATTCCAACCAGCAGTAAACCTTATCAACAAAAATTGGTACACAGATATTATGTCTTTCCTTGTTTTAATACTCTGCAATTAAAATTAATTCATTCGTCAAGCAGTTTCACTGAAAAGTAAATAGCGGGGGAAAAAATCAAGATAACTTCAAACTACCTTTAGCTATTTTGTATTGTTCATAAACAGCATTAAATCTTCCAACCCGTTAGTTTGCATACCTCATGAGAGAAAGCAGATGCAAAAGGATGAAGCACAGACCTCTAGCCCCTCCTCTCCAAAAAACTCATGTTTACCCAAGATTACAGAAACCTTTTATTGCTAATATTAGCTTAATTAAAAAAAAAAAATCAAAAACCCATAGCACTGCTCTTGACTTACAGACTAGACTAATTCAAAACTTGCTTCTGAACTTGATCTTAGTTTTCTAGAAGGCTGTGGGAAAAATCTATTACACTTTTCAATACTTACCTGTGACACGGGAGTATAATTGTAATATTTGGTGTCCACAGTATCAAAAACCTGATGGTATATTCATGTTGGGTGAAAAACTTTTTATGTAGGTATATGCAAACAGCAAATACAATTTGCCCCTACCCCTAATCCCTCACCAAAAATACAAAAAAGTCTTCAAAATCAAATTCAAATAAAAATTGCTGCTTTTCAAGAATATGAAGAAATTTGAGTTTACAGCAAATTAACATCTTTCAAAAGCATGTACAAAATCCATCTTTTCGAGAGATATCAATATTGATGCTGTCCATCAAGTAGAAAATGCTTTTAACACAGTTTCTCTCCTAGTTACAGGGAAAAAAAAGAGGCAAGCATGCTATAATGGCATATCCAATTTTGAAATGTTCCCTTTTAGGTGTTTTGAATCATAAATTGCATTTGAAGTAAATAACCATAAATTATTCCAAGATATTTCTGTAGTAAAAGATAAGGTGTGATTAAAGGTAATTACTCAAAATATAAATTCAGGGTAACAGACTACAAAAAGCATATGGTTAGTTCTGAAGAGGAATCAATTTTACATAAAGCTGTTATTATACCTCTTCATTATGAGTCACAATTTACTAAATCTTTTCCTGAGGAAAAAATCATAACATCATCCTTTAAAATGAACTACTTGTATTTGTCCTAATTAAAAAATAATAATACTTTTATTAAATGACCCCATTTATAAGACTTAGTTTGCAACAGAAAGCCGTAAGAGAACGGAAGAGTGAGATGTACTGTATGTGGGGTAGGCACCACACAGGTAAGCGTGGGACTCAGGATGGTGCAGCCCATAGAAGAGGGGTTTGCTCTGGGGTGCTCCCCAAGAGTTTAGGAACCCCGGGTGCACCATGGCCAGAGCCACCATACTATGGGGTTGCCATAGCCCTCCAGTGACCCCCATGAGCGCAGAGCAACCTAGTCAGCAAAGGAGAAGTGACACCACACACTCACACCATAAGCATCTAGGTACCTTGGAATTTCGTACTGGATCATCTGTTGAATATGCATACTGACAGCTGTTGAATGTGCGTACCGATAGCTGTTGACCGTACTGCTGAGCATCCCGTTGACCATCCTGTTGACATCCATACTGTTATCGACCAAGGCCATATGTTCTACCGTCCAGCTGTGGTCTGGCATTGATTGACTGAATAATGAGCTAAGCCCGGGAAGGATAAAAGAAAGTAAGCCACATACCCCTGGGTGGAGTCGGACTTACCGTCAGCTGGCCTGCGGACCCGACAACCCACCCATCAGTGGGGACGCCCCTGATGCCAACTGCCAGGGAGAACCTGAATCCTCTTGGCGCAGCTCAAGTGTGGTGAGAACAATCCAGGGAGAATTATACCGGAGAGGTGGCTCATAAGGACAAGGAAAGGGCGAGAGCTGTGGTTATACCGTGCATCCGAGAAGAGTCATTGTACTGTGCTTCCATGGCTTAATCACAGAGCTCTGATATGTGTATTCTGTTTTTAGCTCTTTACTATACTTTTTAGCTTTGTTATACTTGTAGATTGTCTGGTGGTAATTGTTTAGTGTTGTCCAGTGTCCGTCATATGTGTAGAACCGCTTAGATCTAATAAAACTCTTATATCTGACAAATGACGATCTCTCGAATTCAATGCAACTAACCCTGGATCCAAGAGAATCCTGGATGACCCTCTAGTAGCGTGTCACAATGTGCCTATAATTTGACACAATTAGATGCATTAGAAAGCTATTAAATGTATTGTTATTCCTGTCCCGGAAAGGCATATGGTACACTTCATATTAAATGCAAAATACTTTGCTTCAACTGTATTTGTTCAGATTTGTCTCCTCCTGCTCAGTTTTAGATGTTTCTGAGCAGTTTCAAGCCTGATTTTTTTTCACTGCTAAATAGGAATTTATGGGAATCGCTACTGTCTGGAGCATGTTATGCCACCAGTTTCATGCCAGTGGAGTTAGTCAACAATGATAACAGCCAAAATACATTAGTTACTGTTTCTATCATCATTCCAGAAAGTGTCTCTAGCTGAAAAATTGTGCAGAGTTCAGGTTTTCAAGAGGGCCTCATCTCCACCAAACTGGGATACACATATATACACCATATTGGACGTTCTTTCTTGTCAGCATTCATTTCTCCAATGAAATGTGTAAGTTTTTACATACCTCAGGTAGTCCTTCAATTCTTTTCTGCAATGTGGATTATATGCATAGGCCAATCATCTCCCTGAGGCAAGATATTTGTGTTGATATATATGAAATACATAGGAAAACGAAATACTAATTAAATACATTCACTGCACTGCCAGTTGTTCCTCCTTTCATTCATAGATTTCCATTGTCTGATCATTAAATTTAGTTCTAATTAAACAATCATTCAAAGACCTTCAGTTTTAAATGTTAACTTAGTCTCTCAACACCGTGGTGGGATCTGGAAAGAAAATAATATTAGAGGCTTGAATGGTAAATACAAAATACCAAAAAATTATTGTGGGGACAAAAAAAAAATCTATTTCTACAGGGAAATATATCTGGCAGACTAGACATGATCCTTTCTTAAGGATTCTCTTACTTAAAAATAATTTGACCAGAGCAGAAGTTTCTAATGAAATATTTCCTGTTTCTAGCATCATTTTCTGGATGTCCTCAAAGGTTTGACAATTCTGGTTTGACACTGTCTGCCAGTCAGCATGTGAATTTTTAGTATTATGTTTGGGTCCCTGAATTTAAGTCAAAACCAACACTGCACATTACCCACTGCTACCGAACCATCAGACACTAAGAAAGTACAGACGCTGTTAACACATGTAATGCATTCAGAAAAGATAAGAGAGTTAATATATGTTCTGAAGGGGCCAATATATCCATCTTGAGGAATCTTTTCATTTTTTTCATCTTCCACCTTTTCCAATCTACATCATTCAGATCACTTCTAAATATTCCTGGACCAACAAGAAAGCCCAAGCCACACATACAGTCTTTTAACTGATACCATTCTCATATCAGACCCATTTGAAGGTGATCAGGCGAGGAATTTAAACAAGACTATAAATTGTTTCCAGTTCATCTTCCCTTATCTTCCGTTAGTGACACTTATTTTGTTTAGTATATTTACTGAAATATGGCTTAGTTTAAATTAACTTTTTATCCTAATCATTATATGCATATGCCGTTTCAGTCGTAAATGCTAGTAAAAAGCTTAATTCAAAGTAGCTTTTAGCACTGGATAGTTGCTTTGAAAGTGCATTTCTGTTCAGAGATGAAAAAATTATCATTTAGCAGTAGCTATAACTTGAGAAAAAAAAAGAGAAAAAATAAAAAAACCCTACTTTTACATTTCCTAGCTCTTATCCCTTATGTAACATTATTTCTTTTTACTGAATGTCATATCAAATTTATCTAATTATATATGCAGGGAACACAAACAGGACAATCTTATTGTCTACTGAAAAGCCTAGAAAAATCATAAGTGATACGCAAAAGACTTTGCACAAACTCCAGTATAACTATTCTTAGCCTTTTCTTTTTTAAAGAAGTAAATATGAAGCCTATTAGGACATAAGTTACAAACTTTTATACGTGCTTTTTTTTTCATTTAAGAGACACATATTGATTGCGTTTTCAATTAACGCCTCCTTTTTAGCCAGCTTAGAAAGGGAAAAAAAAGTTATAAACACCTATGATGCTTCTGTTAGTTTGGTGTAAGTAGTGTGTTAGGACGAAAAATAACACTGTCATCTTGCTACACATACTACTTAACAAGACTGTTCAGCTGCTTTGCTATATGCCAGTTCTCTTAGTAGAGCCAGAGTCAGCTGTAGGCACAGTACAAACTGGCAACAAAGTCAGCACCGACTGAATTATTATTACAAGCTCTTTTATTCTCAGGCAGAAAATTTCACAAAAGTATCTGAAAAAGAGAAATTTTGTAATCTAAGCCCTTTGTTGTTGTGTTGTTTAAAAAAAGGACTGCACAAACACAAAACAAACCTTGCGTAAGGACATACTGTTAACGGCGCCGACACCTGGAATATGCAGAAGTATAAGACATCACCCAGGAGTACCGTTATTAGACGTTTATTACCTTGAAATCCCCGAATCGCAAGGGAAACCCCAGGAACCTTGCAGGGAAGCAACCGGGCTGTGCCAGGCACCACAGAGCATTGCAACAAAAATGTGCTACTTCAAAAAAAACTAATATGGGAATTTACAGTACATAACATGCTCCACAGTCACTCTCAAGACCCATGCTCTTGTCTTGGTTAAGTGCAAGTTTGCTGACTTCACTTTTACCAAGGGTTGTTGGTTAAAACATGTCACACTTACCAGAAGTTCACACTCAAAACTTACCCCAGTGTAAAGAGTTTACAGTAACTTTTTCTTAAATATATCCCTTTATTTTCCATCTAAAAGTCTCTACTCCAACTACAGCTGGCAAGATATTAAAAAAAAAAAGTCTATTCCCTCTTCCCAGTCTTTGTCTACAGAAGATAAAGATTTAAATAAAAGAGGAAGAAGAGGTTTGGGGGTAGGGGAGGGAAGAGGTTTGAGAAAAAAATCCTAAAATTAATATGAAAAATTAGGTAAGCTGTTTTTTCTTTCTAGGTTAATGAAGATATAAATCTAGTTAAAATGTCAGTGTGATTTGAATAAAAAAAGATCATGCTACTACAAAGTTGAAGTTGACAACGCTTTTCATGCAGTCTTACAGCATTATCAAATTCTCTAAAAGGTTCTCTGACTCCAACAACTCCTATGAAATTAATTTCACAATTAATTGTCAAAAACAATTTTCAAAGTTCTTTTTATATTTTACTTTTAAAGAATCTTATATTCTCAGCATCTTTCACTTCTTTACTTTGTTTGAATAACCAAAGGTGAGGAAAAGCCATCGTACAGGGAGAATGAAAAAAATACAGCTGCCTGCCATAAAAAGTGCCTTATTTTTAGGTCCAAAAATATCTTGCCTATAATACACACCTGTTACAGAATAACAGACTATGTGCTATATCCAGTGCTATAAAATATAGATCCCTGATTTTATAAATAATAAGTTATAGCTGAACATGTTTTTCAACATAAAACTTACTGTTTCATTCATCATATGAGAAATGAAATCTTAGTTTTAGTTTATTAAAATTTTACTTTATAAGTGTGTATACATATATAAATGTGTATGCATCTATGTGTGTATATATATAAATACACAGATATGCACACAAACAGATATCATCCAAGTCAGCCAGGTTCATCCATTATTTTGAAGAAAAGTGGAATTCAGCTATAACTTATCACTTGTTAAGTTCTGAGTACAGGTTTAGTGTGGCATCAAAATGTAGGATTTTTTCTTTTTAAGCAAAGCTTTCAAGTTTATCTTTTAAAATTTGAAAGGGCATTGAGAAGGGACAGAAGGACCACAAATACTTTTTCCTCGCTCTCTGAAAAACAAAATCATTACTCATACACAGATGGTCTCTCTACACCTTGTACACAGGGCCCCTGCACTGGGATTCTCCTCTTCATTAGGCAAAACAGCGCTAGGAACTTCATTTGCCACAGGAGCAACAAATGATTTTTCTTCATTTTTGACAGTCACTGCTGCTTCTGTTGCTTTGAGAAGATCACATTTATATATTGAACATGTCCTGTGTTTGAACAGCCACAGCTCAATACATCACACGCAAAAGACGGCTGCAGCTCAAAAAGCACACCGCATCTCTGGGTCAGTAAGTGTCTAGACACACCACATCTCTCTCTCTGCATGATCCAGCTTCCTTATCACCTTCCCTTAAGACATAAAGTTCAAGTTGGCTAATAGCTTTTTTCACTTTTATTAATTTCTGGCATCTCTGGATCTGAGTTCCTGGTATCCTGCATCTTCCAGCACAGTAAAAGGTGAAAGAAACCAGATAAAGACAGACCCTAAATAATGAATCGCCCAGGAGCCATGGCAGTTTCCTACTTCTACTGCTAAGATTACTCATATGCCATGAATTAAGTGTAAAATGTCCATGCCTTTCAGATTGCCAATCATAACTGCCCCAATATCTTCTGCACTCACGCAGACCACAGGAAATGCTTTGTTTCCTGTACCTGGATAGTTAAAGATGATCACACCAGCTGCTCCACTTGCTGCTGCACACTTTTGCTTATGAACGTACACTGCCTTCTCATTATGGGGGCTATCCAGGTCTCCGTTTCTATTGGCCTCCTGAAGTTTGTTGAGGAAGCATGGTGAATTGGTCCCTTGGGTGACACCACCACTCCAGATACCCTCTTTAACGGTGAGGTCCTTCCAAATACTCTGTTATCTGCTGGTTCCTACACTGTCCGATTCCAAACCTGAAACAAAATGTTCAGGTGAGCAACCCAGAACACACATGCTTCCAATCTAAGCAGACCAGGCACCAACCAGGATGGTGACACATAACCAGCAGGAAGACTTGGCCTCTCTTCTCTGAGCTCCAGTCACAGCCGACTTCGTTCCTTCCTCAGTCAGACAAATCTAAGCAACATGAAGCAGGCTCAGAGCTATAGGCAGTTGACAAGATTAGGCATAAAGAGGCAGAGCTAGCACCTGCTTTCTCAGGCTGCTGTTGTGCAGTGAGGTCATGACACCATGGCCATGGCAGCCAATGGCTGACCTGTGTGTGTGTGTGTGTACACTGCTGAGCTCACATATGTTCTTGACCCATGTGCAGACACTATAACTGAGCTCTTCCTACCCCACGGAAATATTTGTATAGAAAAACTCTGCTGCGGACAGATAAATCCTCTGTCCCAGTAGACAAAGTTGTTTTTTACCCTCCCCATCCTATTCATGAAGAAATACCCTGTAAGAACACTGGTATCAGTTGGACCTGGAGCTTCTGTCACAGAGGCTGAGCCTGCTGGGAGCTGTGCTGCCTCACAGTACCACTGTGGGCAGCAATGGCCCTAATGCTTCACAGCCGGTGGGGATCCTCGCTGTGCTCCTGTGGGATGCTCCTTTTTCCAATGCTTGGTAGTGCTGGCATGCAAATCTCCTGTGCTCAGTGCGGAAGAGAAATAAGACTCAAATGATTTTAGCGAGCACTATACATCTGTGGTGCAGTAGACCCACTGTCCTCAAGATAAGCCTCCTTGACTTGATCTATTTGCCACTGTTATCCTACAGTACTTAAATAGTACTGCATTCATTGAGTAAAAGTGCACCCACAAAAATCTTGAACATTTAGTTTAATCTTCTCTCTTCCTCTCCAAAAAAACACTAATGAGTAAATTTCACCATAAAGCATGACTACTTTTCAAGCTCTGATGACGCTGCAAACTGCATCTTTAAAATGTTTGTAGAATTTAACAGCATTTCACATACGACTCACAAGTGTATTGCCATATAAGGGCCAAGCATTGCTTCTCACACCAGCTTATAAAGACTGATGACCCAGCTAGATTGTAGTTAGTTAGCTAGGTGTCCAACTTATTTTTTCAGGCCAACATACTACAGCTGATATTTGGGGTACCATTAAATTGTACTGATTGTTAAAACTGAACTTTTTCATATAACCTTAGGAAAAAAGGTTGTGAGATAATGTTTGTAGACATTTCTGGAGGAAAACTCAATCAACAAACATAGACATGCAAGTATAGGGAGGAGCGTTTTATCCTGAAGGGGTAATGTCTATATTAAAGGGTAAATTTTTACTTCAAGCTTGCTTGAAACAGAAGCTTAAATTATATTAAGATCAATGATAACCATGTCATACTGGAAGGTGTCAATTAAACTTCAAAAGTATAAATGAATGGAACTACCTCTTTGATAAAAAAGACTGAACAAGGGCAAAAAGGACTTTGATAGAAGTCTCAGGGACACTCGATTTTGTGAATAGTTTCTGATGTGCTTCTTAAAGTTATCAGAAAAGCACAAGTCAAGCAAAAAGTATGACTTATACTCATGGAGAAATTAAACTTTTGTTGAGTATAGAAGGCAGACATAAAATTGATAAAGTTCTAGAAGAATTTGCTGGAATTAACACTAGATTTACAGTATGATCTCAGATTTAAACATTTTTAGAAGTATTATAGAACAAGAATCACATATAAATAAATATCAGCTATTCTCTATTCAGTTTTATGTTTGAACTACATCTTTTTTTTTTTTTAAAAAAAGAAGGAACCTAAAAGAGATAAAGCGGCAAGGGAAAAAAAAAACATTTAAAAGATATCTATGGTGCCAGCCTTTCAACAAAGGAAAATGATGCTGAACAACAGACTCAACATTCAACCATCCTCCATATCAATTGGCATAACCATTTTCCTAAGTTGCATTCAACTGGAAAATATATGCTCTTGAGTTTTTGATACATAAAAAAATTAAGAGGTGAAAAGCTCAGTATTTTTCAGTGCTAAATTAAAGTCTAAAAATTTTGGAAAAGATAAGAGTTTTCTCTCTTCTCCTTTTCAATTAAATGTTTAAAAACAGTATATTTTAGGTTTTATTAAAATTTTAGAAAGAAAAAGAGATAATTACTCTAGGAACAAAGAGAAACAAGTTTCTCCTTGAAAAACTGACATGTGACACGCATTATCTCTTACTCTCTTACCTCTTTATGTTTCTTTCTTTTTTTTTTTTAAGGGCATGCACTGTGCTTGAAATGTGTTTTGATGCAAAATAAAGCTTAAGGCTGTGTGTTAAACAGCACTTTTCCTGCTACTGCAGCAGCTCCTCAAAGCATCTCATACACAGGCTCATAAGCAACTCTCCCTGCAGTCAACAGCTCTCATCCTTTTCTCCTTAGCGTCTTCCTTGTTCTACATGGAGACAAAATGTTCCCCATTTCAACATACTCTGGGACCAACTCATCCACTCCTCAATAGTTCTGTTTTATTCTGCAAATATATAATAGATAGAACTGAGAATTGGGGTTATTTTCATGACGAAGCAGAAGACTGGACAGTCTGGACAACAGCTTCCTCAGTTAGAGATTTTAAGAACCAAGGTTTATGCCTTGTAGGAATTAACATGTATTGTAACCAATACTGTTTTCAGTTTTATCTTGGGACCACAGGAAAAAAAAATATTTTTTTCCAGATATGTTCCCACTGCACTTATGAGAGCCTGGAAAGAAATAAAAAAATTATAAAGCTGTTTAGATTGAACGCTATTTTATCAGTTAGCCAGACTACAGGAATAAGAGTATTCTGTGTCAAAAATAAATACCTAAATCTTATGCAGTAGCTTAGTACATCTAACAGTTCATATTTTTACGCTAATTGAATAAAATTACTGCATTAGCCATTGAAACTGTTTATATTCTATGAGAAGACTAATATTTATCAATGTATTTTAATTACTACTTTTAATAATTATTGGCTGCTGAACAAGAATGAAAATTGAGCTGTATGATGTGATTGGTTCAGTATTTTGAAAACAGATGTGTTTTTATCTTTTTTAAAACAAATCTTTTCGAAGACTCTCTTGCAGATCTTTTGCCTCCCTCTTCCCCCCCAGGAAATATCCTCCATACGCTATTTTGATTTTTTTCAGCGGAACAATTGGAGTTAAAGAGCTATTCTTCTCTACTGTTTATGTCTTCAGAACAGGGTCCCTACCATTAGGGAAAAGCAATAGATACTCCATTTTCAGAGATCAGACTAATAAACCAGTATTTCTCCATTTGAATAATTCAGTCATGATTTTTTTAATCAGGTATTTCTTCTCCCAAATATACACTACATCTTAGGCCTAATTTAGGAAATAAAATTCTCGAATTTTGGTTAACAGCATTTTTTTTTCCCCTCGCCTTCAAATGCCACTTTAAATTAAGCTGATGAAAGGCAATCAAATTCACAGTAATAGATCATCATTCTCTGAAGAGTTATAATTATTATTCAATTCCCCCCCCCCCAGTTTTTTAATATCATTTCTCCTACTCTTCTGGAGTGTATTAAAAAATTATAAATCTTTATCAAGAGCAGTGGTTTGAAAAACCATCAAAAGTTAAATTTTTTAGACAGTTTATTTTGTTTTATTCAGTTTCTTTGGGAAATATAGCTGCACATTGGACATTTCCCATAGCTTAGCAACCAGCAGTCCAGGGGGAAGAAAAAAAATCCACTCACACCTGAAATGTGTGCTACTTCTCTAGGTTTATAAGCTTCTAAGCATATTACAGAGCACCGTGCACTGGGACTTGTTTCTTGCCTTCTTTTTCAAATTGGCAAAAGAAGCTACCCAACATCTTCCTGAATTTCTGTTCTTGATGGCTACACATTCACAGTCTCATGTACTGCAGTGTTCGTGCCTGGGGCATAACAAGAAACAAGCACAGCTATAGTGACAACCGCCATAAAAAACCCACAAAACTATTTCACCCAGAAGCAGTGTTTTCTTCCAGCTTCATTTATCAAAGTTATCCAGATGCCCTTGTGGAACAAGCATATTTGTCCTCCTTTCAAGGCTGACAGTAGCAACAATAGTTTCTGTACCCTGGTGAGACACAGCACGAAAACTGTTGTTTATATGAGGCTAGCTGTGGATTACTATGCCAGTGGCTCAATTTGCCACAGGCACTGCAATCTTGTCTTTAGAAGTACAGTCTCCCCTTGCAACAAAGGCCAACAAAGGCCTAGAGTTCACCGACCATCTGCAATGTGTCAGTGGCAGAATCACAAGCCAGGTTAAGAGAAACTGAATCATCTAACAGGGACTGTCACTAGCAGACCTCCAGCAAGCAGAAAGATTTCAGGGTATACATACTGGATTCCCAACAGTCATAAGGGGGAGAGTGTCACACCAGACCAGAGCAGTTAGCAGTAACCCTTTCCTATCTTATTTCCACAGTTTATTCACAACCTACTAATGGAGTTAACGCAGATTAATACAGTTCAGCACGGAGATACAAAGCAGAGGTTTCCCTTGACTAAGCCAGGAACTTCTTCCTCCACTGCGTAAGACTGCAGCATGCTTGCTGTCCTTAATTACTTCCACCACCATCTACTCGACAAAAAAATGATTTGCTAAGCCATACGTAGATGAAGTCTTGCAAAGAACACCTAATGGATACTCCTCCTCTTTTTGCCCAAGTGCATTTTCTTGGATAGGAAAGTGAAATTCAGCAAGCTTAAGGAGGTGTTAAACATACGGCTTCCAGACTTCCCTGCCTCTTGACAAAAGCGGGTGAGCTGCAGACTCACTTCCCAAAATGCTGACCTTGCATCACTTCCCACCCAAGGAGAAGAGCGGCCCTTAGGTACACTGACAGGAAGTTCCTGATGGCAGGATTTTCACATGGTCTGTTTTAGCCACCGCCCTCTAGTAAAGGTCAGTTAACATGAACGTGTTACATGCTGTGCCTCGGAGGTATCACTGAAGAAAGGCTTGCTCTCACTGTATGACTGGTCCCACTCATTCTCCTAGCACGTAAATTCGTGCAGGAAGGTGTCCTGCCCTGACTACGAGGGTGAGGTGAATAACAGTAAAAGCAGCTAGAAACAAGAAAGCAGAGAGAGTAAACTGAAGATTGAAAGACACACATGTCAAAAAGGAAAAGAGAGACACATGAAAAGGATGCAAAAAGTATTTAATTAGCATGCTTGTTTCACATTCACAGATGATTAGCTTATGCATAGATAAGGAACTCCCGTTTTTGCTGAACTTTAGGTTTTTTTTAGTGCTGCACAACATAAAGACTAAAATTAGTGCTTTATTCCCATC